CTTCATTTGCACATCTCATAAATATTGGTACAAAGATTCAAATCTGTATCTTTTTTTCCCCTCTGGAACTCATGTTCTTATCTACTGAGCATAAGAGAATACATAGAGGAGAGTCAAGCATAAGGAGCCTAAAGCATCATGACATTTGTTGTAAAAGGTCCTCCAATGGGAAAGATAAATATTGGCAAGATACTAAGTAAGAGGAATGCAAACTAGTGTGTGTGTGTGTGTGTGTGTGTGTGTGTGTGTAGAATTGCTGGTCCATTTGATGATGGCTATGACCCTGTGCAGTAAGAGCTCCTGACAAGAGCTGATCTGATCTCAGAGTGCTCTTAGAGGTGAAGATATCTAAGCTGGGGATGCTGAAAGGCCTGGACTCTGTAGGAACTACATCCCCACTGGCATCAGAGTCTTTTTTGAGAGAATCAAATTTTACCCATGCAACAATTTTTTTATTGATTCTTTGATTTTTCTATTTCCTTATTCACATGGTTGCTGTGCATCTGAGTGCTGACACTGTGGTATATACTGTTGCCAGAGATGAAGCAGAGTGGCATGGCCCCTGTTTGCTTTAAGAGTGGCAAGAAGCCATGAAACCAGATTTCCTAGTCCCCATGATCATCACATTCCTCCCAAAGTCCAACAACAGCTTTATAGTATGCTAAAACTATGACATTCAGACCGTGTCCAGCATTTTCACCATAAACAACTTTGCCATAGACATCTTGGCCTGCAAGCATTTTTGCCACAGAACTAGTGGTCGTAAGGCAATTTTGCTGTAAAAAAAAATGAATAACAAAAGTAAGGAGACTTTATTTAAAATGTATGCAGCTTCATGACAAAACTACTCAAATAACTAATTTTATTTTGTGAATTGTATCTAAGTGCATTTCTTGTTCTGTGAGAAATGTGGGCTTAACTAAATCTGCACCCTCAATGAGGGCCTTCGACCTCTCCTTCTCTCCCAAGATGGTGTGTTTCAAAATGAAAAACCAACTCTTGGGGCAATTCATCGCCATTTGGAAGAAATTATAACTATTTTAAGACCATCACCACCATACCTACTTGCCACATTACGGACCATTGGAAGAGCTAGCTAATATTTATATGTGTAAAAATGGGAGTAGGTGCAAGAACTTCCTTAATGGGAACTGAAACAAAATTGGCAACTAGCTTAAATATATTAAATCTGCCAAACTTGGTTGATTGATTACTCAATGGAAAAATGAAACCAACTAACCAAAAAATGTTAAGTGATGACTTTCTGGATACAACAAATAATAAATAGAGATGTATAGATCTTGCATGTGAAAACAGTGGGGCTCTAGCCACCTCTTTTGTATATTGGATATCACACTTCTGTGAGGCTTGAATATGTTTGTGTTTGGTGCCTCTTTGAGGACTCTGTTTCTTAAAACTAGGGATCATATCTTAAAAATATTTTATTTCCTCAGTCTCTGTTAACACCATGTAACAAATCATGTATGCTCAATAATTGTTCATTGAGTAGAATTGTATTTAGTCTTAAGAAGTTTGATATTCCTATTTTAGCTCTTGCTGTAATATTTGATATGGGGATGTATAAAAACTCATTCATCTCAGATTTTAATATGCTGTTAGTTTTAATAAAATTACTAATGTAGCAAAGAACAAAAGAAATAGAAAAATCACTACTCAAGATTCCAATTAAAGAGCATTAAATGTGGAATAATTAACATGTGTTATTCATGAAAAACCTCTTTTTGGGAGATGAAAATACATCTCAAAATCAACTTATATTATCATTCAGGCAGGTGGTTACTAGAGCACTGACGGGGGAAAAAAGGGCAGTGAAATTAACTGAAGGCTGTCAGAGAGGAAAGAATCATGTAAAACATTCCAAGTTTATGAAATTAAAACTTTAAATACCGAGTTTGAATTTGAGTGGGTCATTCTCTTGTCTTCACTTCCCTATGATGCCAGGAAGGCTACGTGCCCAGAACAGTACAGGACAATGTGTGGCATTAATTTGCTTTTCTGGCCACCATAGAAACCTACCAGCTGTCACTGCAGAACCATTCGGTTCAGACAAAAGCATGTATTTGAAGAAAAAACAGATTTTTCAAAACTGGGAAATTCCATCTACTTTATTGATCCTCCATGTCTGCAAAACGGCCAGCCCCTCTCACTTTTCTTTTCCCAAGGTGGAGAGGAGACTGTAAATGTTGGTCCCAGACACAGCTCAGAGCTGGAATAACAGAAACCCTCACTATGCAGCTGTCCAGGCCCCACACTGTCAGAGGCATTAAACATTGCTAGGCATTAAATATTACCAGAGGAAAGGTTACTGGTCCAGAACAGCAAACAATTGTATTCGGCAGAACTCTTCTTAGGAAGAGAACTTTGTGAACTGAAAGGCAGGAACTGATGGGGGTAAGACCCACCAGGCAAGTTCAGACAGTTGTCTGTAAAACCCTAAACAAGAGGGTGGAGGGTCTTTTCTTTTGTTGAGAATACACAAAATTATGGCTAGAAGGAAATACTTTTCATACCTTTTGGTTCTTTACCTCTTGATAAGCAGCCACTCCTTTAAATAAACGTGGGGGGAAATATGTAAAGAATATGTATTGGTGTACTCATTTGAAAAGTCACTTAACTTTCATGAATGCCTTAAATGGAGGTGTTTTTAGGTCTTCTTTCTCCTATTTTTTCCTCCAACGTCTTTGCCAAGGGAGGTTGTAGGATTTCTTGTCTTAGGGGTCCTTAGGCAGAAGGTAGATTATGCTCTCCTAGTGATGAGAGAATGGGCACTAGGATCTCTTAAATGTCTTTCCTGAACTCCCACACTGGACTCTTGGAAAAACATGTTTTAAATGTTCCTCAATTAAAGGTTGAAATATCACTTCACCTATGCCAAAAACCCTTCACACCTTTATAATTTTACTAACTTCTGTTAGTCATGGGATGCTTTCTTTTAAAAACAAGGTTACATTCAAACCCCGATGGCATTATCCCTTCATATGAAGACATATCCTAGATGCTATTGAATTAGGCAAATAACATTACTTTCTTGGGTTGAAACTAGAAGACCCATGATGTAAATATAAGCCTACAATAGTCCATCGAGCTGAGCAGGGAACATCCATATACTAATGCTCCTAGGATCTATAACTCAGCCTGTATGATCATAGAAATGTTAAGCCAAGATTTTTGTAGACCATGACCATGCAACATATGCCACTAAAATATATTTGTCTTTCAAGCACCACCTAAAAGAATTTCTTTCACCCCGAACCTTATATTTTATTATCAGGAGCCTGTTTTCTTCTCTTTGAAGTTGTTTTTTCTTCCCTGTTTGCTGTGCTTTAATAATGTGAAGGGGCTTCACTCTAGAGATGCACTGAAGCAAAGCAAAGCTTCAAGGAGCCCTGCTGAGAGAATTAAAACATATCACATCAATTCAGCCTTCTCTTTCTGCCCGCCCTCTATTAATTCAACAAAGTTATAAAAACAAACAAAAGAATAATGTGAAAATACACACATACAGGGGATTTGAGTTTTGTTTTGTATTTTTAGACATGAAGAACAAAAACCTCCATAGAGCCGCTAAAGCTTTCTAACCTCATCAAGTCCTCTTCTATGAGTCATTAAGTTGCTGAAGCCCAGAAAATCAAATTTGGTTTAGGGCTGTTTGATAATGTAGTAACACAATAAAATGTGATTCACCAATTAGCTCATGTAATTAGAAAATCAAAAACATGTTCTAAGTGGCTGGTGGACACATAAATAAAGTATATTGTCATTCTTTGTATTTGCTGATTATAGTTATAATTACATCTCCAGTTGATGTTACTACATTCCAATTCCCCAGGGAAGTGAATTCATAGTTATCTGTGTTTTTAAGTCAGATAAATGAATGACGCATTCCATTCATCAAGTCATTCATTCACTGTTTTGTTTGTTTGTTTTATCAATTCTTTCTTGCCAGGCTCTCTGGTAGACTATCCCATCCTTGCCTCCATAGAACTCTCAATCTGAAAAAACTATGTTTCAATTTTTTTATGGAAGGGAAAGTCAACTGAAATGAGAACTCTACAACAACGACAGTTTTATAGTTAAAAATTAGTCTTTCTTGGAGATTCCTAAATATTACTAATATTACCAACACATATGTGAAAAAAGAAACTAGTGATTTGAGAATGTTTTTGCTTAGAAGTTTTGCCCGGCTCAAAAGGACTCTGTGATAGATAAGAATGGGAATTGAATATCTGTTGGATTATTTTAAAGCAGCTCTTGATATATGCTGTATGTACATCTGTTGAAATCTATGCTGTATGTTACCTGGCTATATGTAAAACGTATTTCTTTAAGTTCAAATCAATTCAAAGGCTGGTTGGATGGTTAAAAGTATCTCAGTAAGAATTTCGCCCATGTCCTACTTTGCTCTGTTTTTTATTGCAACTGAAGTACATGGGCATGGTTACATTGTCCAGGGCTTCCTAATAAATATAATGAGAGGATAATAGGGATGAATTACCTGAGCCTAAGCCAATAAAGAAAGGCTTTCTTATGTGACATGGTCATTCTTAATGATATTTTAGATTAAAGAATGACATGCGGTTGTGCTGCCCTTAAAGCTGATTCTTTAAAGTAGTATATTAGTGTTAATTCATAGACATTTTAAAATACATTAGGAAAAAAAATTTCCTTACAGCTGTGACATTGTTGCTGGATGGCTTATTCTTTTGTCAATTCACAATGCATATTTTGTATTGTTCTCTGTCCCACAAATATTGCAAAATTCTAAGGGATGCAGTAAGCTTGATTATTTTTTGGTAGAGTCTCACTCATATATTTTAGAGTAGCTTGGATTATATTTTATTTAGATACAATCACATATCAAAAAAGTGTGGTTTATTTATAGCCAGAATGAAACTTAACTCCCAAATGTTATTTAAGATAACGCTGTCTCCATCTCAGTATGTATTTAATTGTTCTCTTTCTTTTTTTCCTATTTACAGGTCAATGGGACAGAAATTGAATATGAGTTTGAAGAAATTACTTTGGAGAGGGTAAGAAAAATCCAATAATCCAAAGCCCCAATCTTGCTTTTCACATTCTGCATCCTAATGGTTTGTCTTGCAAAATTACACAATTGTATATTATACCCTGGAAGTTTCCAACAGGGCTCACAATGAGAATATTAATAAAATTCTTTCAGTGGAAGGCCTGGGGACAAACAGACCAAATAACCAGAATGTTCAGTATATAGATTGCATTGCCAGGCTTTGGAGCAACAAATGAAAAGATAGAAATGTTCCATGAACTAGTGCAGTATTTTTTCCTGTTGTTTTGCTACACATTTTAGATACATTATAAAATTTTTTTTTATTTATGTAATATTAACACTGTCTTTATAATTACCATTACCATACATTTTTATGTTTAAAAACAAAACAAGTCATGGATTTTAAAAACACCCCTATTGAGAAAAACACAGTAACCCTGCAGATCTCTGAAAATATGCTGTTAGAGCCTTGGCATGGCTTTGAAAAATTAGGGAAATTCTAATTTCCCTACAACTCTAGTATGTAAAGATAATTTACAAAACAGTAAAAGAAAGACCAAAGACCACCTACAAAAAATAAAATTTAAAAAAAAGACCAAAAGACATTAACAGGATATCCATCACAAAAGAAAGGGCCAATAACATACAGAAACCTGTTCAACCTTACTTATAAACAAAGAAAACAATGATGCTAAATAGTTTTTATTTACCTGATTGGCAAAAAATTTAAAAGGAGGATTAACATTTACTGCCATTGAGTGGGCCTGGAATTTGGTGCAATCAATGTATCAGGTTGGAAGAAGGTATCAAAAGTGTTAAAATGGACATGGTTTTTACCCAAAAATTGTACTTATTGAATTATACAAATATATAAATAGTGTTCATATTGGTATTTTTTATAATAGTGAAGAATTAAAAAGACAAGTGTTTAATAACACATTATTATATGTCCATATAAATAGAAAATCATATTAAATTATAGTATTTTTAAATATTTAATTATAAGTATAGAGAGGTAAGTAGAATGTATTATTAAATATATTATTAAATTAGCCCTGATAGGTGTGACTCAGTGGTTAGAGTGTCAATTCCTGTGTCAAGGGCACATATCTGGTTGCAGATTTTATCCCAGGCCTGGTCAGGGCATGTGTAGGAGGCAACCAATCAATGTGTCTCTCTCTGATATTGATGTTTCTCTCTCTCTTTCCCCCTCCTACCCTCCTTTCCACTCTCCCTAAAAATTAATGGAAAAAATATCCTCAGGTGAGGATTAATTATATATATTTCATTATAAATTAAAATGAAGTTAAAAAGGATATCTATACTAATCAAAGGGTAATATGCTAATTAGACAGGACATCTTCTGGATGACCTTCCGGACAAAGTCACGGTGGCGGGGCTGAGGCAGAGGCAGTTAGGGGCGATCAGGCCACCAGGGGAGAGCAGTTAGGAGGATCAGGCTAGCAGGGGAGAGCAGTTAGGGGGATCAGGCCAGCAGGGGAGAGCAGTTAGGGCAATCAGGCAGGCAGGCAGAGGTGGTTAGGGGCGATCAGGCAGGCAGGCAGGTGAGTGGTTAGGTGCCAGCGGTCCTGGATTGTGAGAGAGATGTCCAACTGCCAATTTAGGCAGTTTAGGCCTGATCCGCAGGGATCCCAGATTGTGAAAGGGTGCAGGCCGGCCTAGGGACCCTCGCCCCTCATACACAAATTTCGTACACTGGGCCTCTAGTTTATAATATAATCAAAGAAGCACAAACAAAGGTATACATGCAAAATATACATTTATAAATATATACATAAAGCCTAGAAGGATACACACCAAAATGTTAAAAGTGGTTAAGTCTTATTGAGGATTTTTGGGGTGATTTTTCTGTTTTATCTTTTTATTTATATTTATTTCCTAAAGCTTCCATAATAAACATATATTACATTTATTCTAAAAAACAAAAATGAAAGTTTATTTCTTAAGCTTTAATTCAAGTGTGAATTTACACTCTAAACCTACACTTAAATATATTTTTTTCTTTTGATTTTTCACTTTCCTGAGTCAGGGAATTTATCATTCTGTCTAATTTATATTGAGTGTGAGTGGTTTTAAAAGGAAATTTACATTGAAAGTTAAGTGTTTGCCAGATGGGTATTTTAAAACTTACATTATGAACTCTGATAAAATGTTAATGGCATGCTAAATGGAGAAAATTGAAGCTTGTGGAAAATTTGCCTAAATGTGAAGATTACTAAGATCCTCTCCAGAACTGGCTATATGATTTGTGGGGCACAGTACAAAATGAAAAGTGGTGCTCTGGCTTAAAAAACTGTAAGAATTAAAAGATGGCAACAGGAGAGCATTAAACCAGCATGGGTGGCTCTCTCTATGGAGCAGGCCTGTGCCTTTCCCCACCCCTTCTTTCCCAAGGGCACATGCCCCTCAGTACTCCCAAACCTCTCCTCCCTCCCTCTCATTTCTCAAAGTATTTCTCTCTCTCTCTCTCTCTCTCTCTCTCTCTCTCTGCCTCTCATCTCTGTCTTTCTCTCTCTCCCTCCCTCTCTCCCTCTCCACCCCCCTCTGCCCCTCCCTCTGTGGCTTTTTATATAAACTTTCTCTTACAGTTTGATAATAAATAAATAAATAAATAAATAAATAAATAAAAACAAGGATAGCCCTTCTACACATAGGGCTCTCTTTGCACCAAACTCATGAGACCAACACTTCTCTCTCTCCACCCTCCACACATATTAGCATCTCCAATGCCCCACCATTTAGTTACCCTGGCTTTATAGGTCAGAAAATAATTAGAAGCTAATGTTGGTGTGAGGTACAACATTCAGGAGGAATATGACAATTGTGTGTTCTAGTTTGGGTTCTGACACTTATTTGCTTCATGATCTAGCATGTCACCTCCAGGGCTCCCTTCCTGTCATAGGGATTCTAGTTGTACTCTAAATCTTATCATTGCCATTCATTGCCCCTCTCTCCCAAAACCTCTATGTTAAGTATCATCTTCTCTGTACAGCACCTCCTCTTTGTGTTCGTTGTTTATTCTTATACCTCATTCCAAAAATTCTTCAACCCCACTGGGATCTTGCATCATTGATTCCACCATTTCCCTTGAGTTTTTATCCTTCATTAGGCCCCCCATTTCCTCCCATATATTAGCATATATTCCAATAGTTCTTAACGTACTTTCAACATTTTTTATCCTCCTCATTTTCTTGTGTTCATCCCACAAAACCTCATCTCTGGTTTATCTACCATGATTAAACCAACACCTTCCTACATGCTCCATGCCAGCACCCGGGCAGCTGAACCTGGCTACGGAAGTGCTTACTCATCTCACTTTAAAATTATAACCATTGGTTTCAAATGGACCCTCCAAACATCCTAGCAGTTCTTATACATTTCTTTAGAAAAATCACTTTCTCATTCTCCAGGACAGCATTTTCAGATCTTATTTGCCCTCATCAGATCTTTACCACCAATTCCCTCATCCTCAGGCTCAACTGTTGACGTCTCTTCATTGTCCCAGAGAAAACCCAAGCACTCAAATGAAAACCACCTCACATTCCTACCACTAGGTCTGCTACTGTGCTCTCCCTGTTACAAGGAAGGAGTTTCCCTGCTCATCCCAAGGTCAGCTCTTCACTCGTGGCCTGGACTCTGTAACTTCTCATCCATTTAAAGACTCTGCCTCTGCAGTTTTCTCCTCTCTCTCCTACAATATCAGTTTCTCTCTCTCTTTTTCCTGGATAAATTTAATACATCATATTAAATATCATATAATATCTCTCATCTTAACACACATACACACACAGTCCCTGAACCCAAAGTTCCCCTCCTATTACTGCCTTATTATTCTATTTTGCTTTACCAAATAACTAAGAAAATTGTCTATTTATTACCTCATTTTCTTATTTTAACCTCTTTCATGTTTTCATCCACACAGCAGTCCTAATACCATCCCTATCAAAGTCACACCAGGTTCCATCTTGCTAAATTCAAGAATCAGTTCTCAGTTCTGACTGATTTCTCAGCAGCATTTGATGCAACAGTCATTGCCTCCTTCCTCAACGGTGTCAATTTCTTGGCTTCTGGAACAAAACACTCCTGTTTATCCACCACCTCATCGTGCTCTTTTCCTGTGTCCTTGCTGGCTCCAACTCTAAATGCTGGGGCACTCCAGAAACCCAGTGAATAGACTCAGTCTCTTCTCATTCTCCAGGTGATCTCATCCAGACCCACGACTTTAAATTCCAGCTACCAGCTGGTGATTCCCAAATCTGCAGTCATGAGCTCCCCTGCACTCCAAATTCAGACAGCTAACTGTCCAGTTGGCATCTCTGGTATGTTCCCAATAGAATTTATTATTTCCCTGCACTCCCTACCCTCAGGGCCAAAGCTGCTTCTAGCCTAATATTCTTCATTTAAACGAGTTGGTTCTATCATTTTTCTTATTATTCAGGCCAAAAAAATCATCTAGACATCTTGCTTAATTGTGCATTTCCCCTCAGCATCCAGAGCAAGCCCTACTGGTACAAACATAAAAATAGATTTTAAAATCAATCACATCTTGCCACCTGTTCTGCTGAATCCTGGTCCAAACCAATATCATCCCACGCCTGGACCACTTTTCTCCTCAAAGTAGCCAGAGTCATCTTTTAAAAAATTTAAACCATATCATACCACTTTTATTCTTAAAACTCTCCAAGAGGTGATAATTACATTCATCATCATCATCTACAAGGCCTTATACAATATGACCCTACTTCTCTCTCCAACACTATGCCCTCACCACCAACTCTTTGAATATATTTTACTCTTGCCAATCTGCATCATTTCTAAGAAATAAAAGCCAAGCTTTTCCCACCTCTAGGCCTTCCTATATGTTATTCTATCTGCATGAAAAAATATCTCCTCAGATCTTTTCATTTAAATAGAGACATATGGCCTTCGTTTGAAACCTGCCTCTATCACTTACTGGTTAATTCAAGCTGAATACTCAACCTT